AACAAATTTTTCAATTTTTCTGAGATTTTTCCAAGGGGGTACCCCTTCAAATTTTGCGAAATTTTCGTTTTTTGCCAATAACTCCCAAACCACTGGACTTACGGAAAAATTGCTTAAAACCTTCCTTGTAGAGGACGACGAGATCTACAATTTCCATATAAAAGTTTCTTGCTAGCGTCAATAGTTAACGAGTAATTTGCAAAAAACTGTTTTTTCGTTTTTCGTCAATTACTCGTAAACTATTGATGCTAGCGAGAAACTTTTACATGGAAATTGTAGATCTTGTCGCCCTCTACAAGAAAAGTTGTATGCAATTTTCCCGTAGAACCAACGGTTTAGGAATTATTGAGGAAAAACGAAATTTTTTGTCAAAAGTTCGCTGATTCGACGGTGGAATGGTCGGATTTTCTCAAGATATATAAAATGCCGATTAATCATACTTAATTCATTAAATATCGAAGTTAGGAGAAAAACAACTATTATTTGAAGTATTTTTCGACATTTTTCGGAATACTTTACTTTTGAGATTGATTGTACAGCCAATACATCCTTAAAGAGTTTCATTAACAAAATTTAGTTTCTCCAAACGGTAGCTATTCATATCGGAGGGTGGTTCTAAAAATTGGTGTGCATTCTGCTCGACGAATAATGCAACGAAATTATTTAAAATATGCAATTCAATCGTATTAAAGCGACGTATCATTTATTCTTACAATTCAAACGACATATATTTATTTAATTATGCAACATGTTCTCGTCTCACGCGATGTGTTCTATTCAATATTTCACGGAAGATTAAAGAATCCCGTTGCTATTTGAATCCGTGCCATAGTCTCGTCCCAGTTTTCAGAATCACCCCGCGAGTCTAGACTGAGCAAACAGACTGACATATTTGGACATCGTACATATCATAAAGATATTAGAGAATCCGGGCTAACATGATCGACGACATACGATAAGTTGAAAAAAAGAGAAATGATGCTATAAAGAGGTAAAACATGCTTGCCATTCCGGGTGATCTCGATTCTAAACGGCTCGAAACGAACCAGAACGGTCGAGATCGCTGGAGATGGATATTTCCCTTCATGGTCAGACGACAGAACACGATACGTGCTGTTCCCTAATTGTGCAAAGCTTCTAATGAATAATTTAGAAGATCTGATCTGAGCTCGTTCTAAATTTCTACGTTCCTCGTTCGATCGCATCTAATTTGAACGGGAACAGGACAGATCATGTTTTTTTAAATCTGATCACGCGAGGGATTTAGTAAGTAAGTACTCTCATCCGTAATACACACGCCATACTTGGATATATCGGGAATACACACACGTCTAAACAGTACAGTACAATCTCGACATAATGTACATATACAAACATATGCAGTATATATTATATACTCGTTTCTTTATCGATGAAAGAGACATGAATAATATATTGTACTCGGCACCGCAGCGATTCGCTGGGTCTGCAGTCCACTCGATCGCGGATCCATCGGTAACGTTCTCTATCAATAGCTGAGCCGTAGCCCACAGCTGCTGCCTGCACTGCACTGCGCTATGTACAGCACACGTTATGATATTTAGTAACTCTGGTGTAATCCCTGGCCAGCAAATCTCTCTTAATTCTCTTTTTAATTAACATTTCGAACGATTCGGCGAACCTCATTTTAAAAAAGAGAAGGAAATTGGTTTCGTGGAGTGGATTAATTATTCTGACGATATCTAATTCAGTCCTTAATAAATATTTAACAAGGATCCTAGAGACTCTGATTTACTTTCAGTAATTGTCAGATTCTTGGAATAAAAAATTGTATCATGGTTCGGCGGGGTATAAATTAGAATTGCCACGGATTACATCAGTACGCATTATGGTTCCTTTGATATTTTTCTAATTTGCCAACTTTGATATTTACATTTTTGACTGTTCGGTGTTATTACTCCAATATCGATGCCAGTAAACATATATACATTATTCTATATCGATGGTGCACAAAATGCTTGTGTATGTATATTTATGTTGTAACTAGATATTCATTATGATACATATATCATTATCTATTCTGGAGCACTTGCAGCGAGCCACTGTTCGATTACCTACCGTGAATTCGATGTTCTGCGTGCAATACCCGTGCACCTAAGTCGAGCCCCTCGCGTCCCTCGCACCCATAGTAAAAACCGAACGTTTACTTGAACCATTTTAGATCCCCCGCAAAATTCAATTCCAATTATTCGTTGTCCCTTACTTCGATCCATTTCTGATCTCACGAACTTGCCCTCACGCCCCGTCACTCGTCAAATGAGAACGAAATCAGATTTGAAAAAAAGAAAAATGGAGAGAGGTTCGCTGCAAAACGTGTGTGTGTCCGCGGTGTCACCAAAGAGGTGTGTGGAATAGAAAGAAAAAAAAAGAAATCGGGAACGTAAATGCGTGTAGACACGCAGAAGGGCGTGCATGAAAGCGTGGTGTGCGTGTGCGTAGAAGTCAGCTGGAGGTGGTCCCGAGGAACAGCACCGGCGGGGGTCGTCCGATGAGCACCGTGAGCGCAGGGGGTAGCCTCGGTCGCGGAAGCAGGGCGTTGCACCTTCAGCATCATCAGAGCTCCCTGTCCGCGCTCCACATGACGGCCAATCACTCGGGCACGGTCGATAGACGCCGATCCAGCCTCAGGGTAACGTACCGTATAGATTCAAAGACACACACTCGGTCCTCTTCGTCGATAATGCACTGGATAATTCGGTGGTATCTTTCTTTTTCGGTTCGAACCCTCAACAGGCCGCGATACGCTCTCGACACACCGCTCTTCACTTTTCCACTGGTCGATCAGTTCTTCACGCGAAATTCAGTGATAGCAACTTGTTGAATAGAAGTTTAAATCGCGTTTTAAACAATTTCCTAATATCTGTTGAATCGCAACGAGCAATCGACGTTCTTTCAACACAATTTTAATTGATGCTTTGATCGAATAAATATGTTCATTGCAGAAGTGTAAGAGAGTTTAAGAAACAGCGGTCTGTCTTGAGAGATACGTAATCTCTATTGGTCACTGAGTCATAGATGACTTTCTTCATACATATTTTAACTACGGCCAAACATGATGTAAATAACACAGATACGATCAGTACATAGAAAGCCATCGTTGACAGTCTTCCATAGTCATGGGCAAGATTTTCAGTGGCAGCTGGGGTTGTTTCCGTCGAGAGATAATTTGATGATTCGAGCTGCTACTAAAAATTCATGTCTCGCACGCTTCCACAGCCACGTTGATTTCTTTTCATTTCATTTGTACATATCGACTTGTTGATTTGCTCATTTCATTTCTCATTGGCACGATGCATGGCACCGCTTAGTCAAGGACGCTCACGCAGTATTTCTTGTCATACAGCAACTCCCTGTTTCATTCCTGAATAAAACGATTTAATCCTTATCGAAGGAGTAGCGCGCAAACACTTTGTAGATATAGACAAAACCTTTGAAACAGCGAACATTATTATTATTAATTTTGTCGAATATTAAAACACCGAAACATAGTATCAGAGCATCAAGCTTTATTCATTCATTGGCTGAATCACGAAACTCATCGCACTGTGAACAAAAAAGATCTGTTAAAATTTCTAGTCGTTCTTCCACGCGAACCAGGGATTAACGATTACAAAATGATGGGCTGTTCTGTAACTACAAACGTGACCGACGTGTGATCTGACCACGATAAGGATTAAAAATAAAACAAAAAAAAGAAAAACGAAAGCTGTGAGCTATGCGCTCGACCTAACGTTAATCATTCTCCTTGCATCCTGTGGATCGTCGCAGACCTGCAGTCTTCTTTACTTGAAAAAGGTTCGGTATATATGTATATAATTACGTAGATCTGTATTGACTCGTCGTTGATTTCGCCACGCGTGTGCATTAGTTTAGCACCGTAGGGGTCCCCAATGACGGTTTCAACCTCACAGATGTTCATTCGATCCTCCCTGTTTCCTTCGAGGATCCCGTGTTACATTTCGAGAGAGATGATTCTCGTTCTCTCTTTTATTTTGTTACTTTCGTTCTGAGAGATTGCAATGATCGTCGCCTGATTCGATCAGATCCTCGAGGAAAGGGAGGAGCGCGGTTTTGTGGTGGAACGTGGCCGGAAAACGATAGTTCATTGATCGGTGTTCGAGGTTCAGAATTTTTAAATCTAATTAATCGTTGTCCGACACGTTCCGTACTTAAAAAATACACAGTAGATGTCCATCTCTGTCGTAGAGCATCCATCAGAACGACGAGTCCTTCTCGAGTTATTCAGGCGTTCCGGAAACTGGATGTCTCCTCGTGAATCGAAAACACGCGTGGATTTTAGCGGAATGTCGTGAAATGAGAATTATTAGACACTTCGCTAAAATACAGATCTCGGCCTCGCTCGTACGGACCTCGAAGATTCGCGTGAACAAATTATTGATGTTAACCGTGATTTGGAAAAGAAAATTGATTTTCGTCGTCGTCGGTTCGACGAGCGCGAGAAACGGTATTACTTTTTCTTTAATCGAGACATGGAGTTGTTTGAAATTTTCATGGGAAGACTGACGTTCGGGATACGACGGACGTGATCGTGTCACGCCTATACTGGGTGTCCCGAAAAAAGTATTAGAGCCGAAAAGGGGTGATTCTGGGAATATTTCTTTTGCAAATTATTGTTCAGAAACACTTACAGAATCACCTCCCTTCGGCTTTAACACCTTTTTCCGGGACACCCTGTATAACTTGTGGGAGTTTCGAAGATATCTCTCTATACTTAATCGCCTATTTGTAAAACTTGTAAACTCTCGCTGACGATTTTGTTTAGCGAACATCACTGAACAGCATGTTTGACAGGGATTGTGAAGAAAAAAGATGAGCTTAATTAGTGACATTTAACGAGCCGGCCGCTCGAGAGTCTCCCTTTCGTAATTCATCGAATCGCAAATTACTCTTAAACTTGAATCATGATGACTTTGTTCATCCTATTTGCTTTTCATAGTTTGTATCATTTTCAAAGAATAGGTGAGTCGTGAAAACTAATTTTCGACTCTCGAGTTAGACAATCATTTTTTGTGAATGCTCGATGAACTACGATTAAAATATAGCGACTCCTGATTATCCTCGACCGTCGTTATTTAGTACCTAAATTTCCTTTTAAGAGGCTGACTGTATCGCCGCCACATTGTAAACACTGTACATAAAACGCAATTGTCGATTACCAAGTTCTCCTTTCTCCGCCGATCTCTATAGAGCACTAACGGATAACGAATGTGCCACTAATGATAATGGCCCCTATTGAAATAGCTGCGGCCACGAAACGCCACCGATGCTCACGACGTTATCAGCAATCCTGACGCTCACTATGGTACAAAATACAAAACAGAAAGAAATTTTGATTGCGAAACCTCTTGATTTATAAAGAAAATCTTATCTTATGATTCATTCCTATATCTCGGTCCATTCCGGAGATATATGGGCGTCAATCAAAGTTTTATATCATAGGCAATGATTCATGATGACCAAATGATTATATCATTGGCGTGAAGGTCAGCGTGAAAATCGCTGAAAAATCTATGCTTTTTTCCGGGTACGGTTTTCCAGCAAGGAGACTTTCCTGATTCGACTATCGGAAGTTGTCACCTGTTTTTGTTACGACCCGTCGAACGTTCACAGTTTTTTCTTGCTTTTGCTTTCCTGCTGTGTCGTAGCAACGGGTCTCGCGGCCGAGCTCCTAATCTCGCAGGCAATAACGGGGCCGAATGGTGTATATGCGAAAAGAAAACGTGTCTCGTAGAAACCAGCGTTCTGTAGAGATCAGTTTTTCCACGTATGTTAGAGTATCCTGTTTTCCAAAGGATACGTTCACCGTAGTGAGTATTCGCATTTTAAAAAAAGAGAGAGAGGAGCGTTCGCCGGCGCTCAGTTTTTAGCATCTTAACTCCGATTATAAACGACGCCGAATTATGTAAATATAAACTGATGATTTCAATGTGGAATTCACCACGTGGGTTCTTAATCCGCCTTCTTTCGTCCTTTACTAGTTGTCGTGGAAGAGCTCACAGGTATGCGGCTATTAGTTCATTTGCGTAGACCGACCGACACATAGCTCGTTCTCTTCGCACCCTCCCAATCCTCCCGAACTGAATTTAATTTATACTTTACTTCAAAGACAGAGATTCGATTCTTGCTTCGTTCCTTTTCGACCGATCTCTGGCTTCCTGCATCGTCTCCTAGCTTAACTGTTTCGTTCCTTTCTTCTTGATGACTTTCTTTTCCATCCCTCCCTTTAAAAGTCAGTCACATACCGATCGATCGACAGAGATCAGTGTGCCAGACTTCAATCTGCAAGATCGTGTATTCCAAAAGACATTTGAAACGCAGATCTGTGTCGCTGCACGCGCTTCCCAGCTTCTCGTTGCACCGGATCTCATCCCAGACACACTTTATCTTTCATTTCCTCCCAAAACTCGGAACCGTTTCGAAGTTTCTCGAAACGGCCAAGTTTTTCATTTGACTTCGCGAAAGTCTCGGAACACTTCGGTACTGCAGACTCAGTCATTGACGAAATCATCACCTCTGAACAGTTCACAGACCTGGCATCTTGGACACCCAAGTAGCTCGTTTGCTCGTCCTTTCGACGAACCCGAAATCCGCAGATCCACGAAGTGCAGTAATAAAATCTTTCAACGTCTGATTGAAAGAAGAATGTAGAAAATTCTTGGTCAATTTCATTAAAGAGCCTTACCAGTGTGACCGCCAAAAATTTAGGTCATTTTTAGGAATTTTCTTTAAAAAAGTACTGTATGGAATTTTTTTTAATTGAATAGCGATACGATGTATCTACAGCTACTGTGCTTCGTTTACCATTAAGAAGACCCACCCAGGCAAACGTAGACAAAAATATTTTTAATATTCAAACGAATTCGAAACAGGGATCGTTGAGTAGAGCGTTCGGGCTGCGACCGAGGAGCGAGAAGGCATCCCCATCGTCCTCTTCGGACACCGGGAGTCTGGCCAGCCAGTACATGAGCAGCGCAAGGAGCAACTCGCCGCCACCGCCGCAGCTGCCACCGCGACCGATGACCGGGAACAAGAGGCACCGCAGAGTGAAGAGCATAGGCGACATCGACTACATAACGAGCGCAGCGGTCAGCACGCCCGTTTGACAAGAGGGTAGGCCCCAGCATCCGGGGCCATATCGGAGCCTCAGCGAGCGCGGTTATTCCTCCTCGTATTCGTCGCAATACGGCTCTTATTCCGGTTACAGCAACGTTCTACCAGGAGATCAGTACCAGTACCAGCAGACCGGGAATTATTATCAGTTGAAGGGGGGTTACTATTCGCCGCAGAGTACGGGACCGCCGTTCCCGGGCGTGCAACGCTACGGCAGCCTGGCAGAAGAGGCCTGGTCGTGCACCACGAAGGACGAGGGCGGTTCGAAGGCGAATCCCAGGACTTATCTCGCTTAGCCAGTTCCTGGCTCAGGGAAGTCCTCGGTGGTCCCGCGATGACGATCGCACGATTTTGTTATCGGCGGGCTGTGATCTAGCGGTCCGAATCGTGACACACGACTGAATCAATTGAATCGGCAAATTCTTCTCGCTAACTGTAGTTAATTGATTCACGGTTCAAATCGGTCACGAGGTATCGCACGGTAAACGTATCGCCGTATACGATCAACTGACTTCGATCGGTGAACCTGCTGTGCCTGTGGGGACACGAGAATCGAGAAAACCTGTATGATGTAACGAGACAGAAACTAGGTTTACGGTACGAAGACTCTGCCTGATCGCGTTGTACCTAAACCACTCGACGGATTTAAAACGCGTCGTAACAACGAGCTGTTTCAGTTTATTCAGTAACTGAACCCGAGGTGAATTGCAATCGAATATATTTATTCAGGACCAGTTTTATAGCGCGTGATAACTCATTCTGAACTAGCTTTGTCGAAAGACTTGAGCTTGATCGACGCTTATCAATCCGATGTTTAACTCCTAGCGAATTGAATCTGATAGAGAAGTAACGCGTTCGCTGTCGGCACTCGTTCAAACGTTTCTATCTGTTGTCAGACCGTTTCCATTTAAGTAATTAAAAATGTCTAGAGTGTCCGTCGATACATATCGTTCCCCGCTGACAGCGAATCCGTTGACAGGCTTGAACAATTTTTCGAGCGGTTCAACCCGTAATAGAGTAACAGCTGAAATACCAACAGTATTGTAATGGATCGGCGTTAGGCAGAGGCTCGTACGAATAGACGAATTGTTCAAAACTGAAGACCCCTGACCCCGGTTCATACGAATTGCCATATCTTCTCGCGATCGCTGCCAAAATCCACTATTTCGGAAAACGTCATTTCCTTTCGTCCTCCGTAGGTACCTCAAACGAACGAACACGACCAATTAGAGAGACACGGGACGTGATCGTCGGACTTGGACAGTGCGATTTTCGAGTCCGATCTAATTTATGATCGACAGCTGCGTTCGTGCACACGACAGAATGTCACTCGCGTCGTTTTCCGTAAAGTTTAAGAATTTACTTAGCCGACGTTCAACTCTAGAATTATAATTACAAGACTGTTGTTGGAACTTAGAAGCTCGCGATCTCCCGGGACGGGAATGGGAAAGTTCGTTACTGAAGGAAGATCGTATTCTTTGTATGTACGTCTCGAAGGTAGAAGAAGCAGGCAGGGGCTTCCATCGAATTTCCATGCGAGTCTTTCAAACGCGTTCAGGGCGACGACGTTCGATCAGAGACACACATTCCACTCGCCGTATCTCGAGACGAGAGATCGCAACGCGGAATAAGTATGCAAAGACCTATTTTATCTATCGACGAGAAAATAGTCTAGTATAGTTAGAGAGAGAAAAATATCGAACGACCAAAATTCAGTCGGTTCTGAAGTAGAAAAGGGAGAGATCGATATATTATTTATAATCGTTCGAGCGACGCAGACCTTATTTTCAGTTTTCCATTGAACGCCGAATAAGCTTTCCATAGTGCAGATTATTTTTCAACAGTTTTACGAACTATATCGTAATTTCGATTGATCGACGTTTTCGTTATCTCGTTTGTGATAACTTGTACATAAATGAATGGAACGAATTAGAGAGGTCGTAATGAAATGTTTCTCTGTTTCTTCCAACGCACACGAGGAGACGATCGATCTTGGGGCGATAAAGAAACGGATTATTTAAGAATGAAAAATATATAATTCACAGAATTAAGTATATATAACACCAGAGTTCGGGCGATCACCGTTAAGAGAATAAAAAAAACCGTACGTGTTATTATGTAATTAATTGTAATAACTGTTAAAGAGGAAATAAAAACGCGTGCATGTGCCCCGATTATTAGTCAACGATCTATTTATACAGCCGTGTACGCGACGATCGATCATTACGAAACGTAACAACGATCGTGGAGCATCCGGTCCGGTACTCTGGGCCTCGCGTTCAAGGCCACCAGAATCGAATCGCACGTCAGGATTAATTATTATTAATTATACGCTTGCGCGACGAGACGATATATTTTGTAGATAAAAAAAGATTTTAATTATTAATATTTATTGGTAGAATTTCTTATTGTATTTATGCTCGGTGGTAAATTTCTCTGTACGAAGGGAATCGCTTAGAAGGAATCGCGTGAAATATCTCCGAAGACTAGCCCCGAGCAGACAAAGAGATACAGGAAACTGTTTGTATCTTTAAATAATCCTAATACGTTTTCGATTTATGCATGCTGGAGATGTTTCTGCGATTTCATTTACGCGGACCACGTCGTCGTGCGATCTAGCCGAATAACTTCGGTTCCCGAAATTGGTTTAACTTGTGGTCCAGTATTATCGCCGTTTATCAATCCCATTAAACGGCGGATGAATACTGATCCAGGCGTGAACGATCTGACTCACCTAAGTAATTTATTCCAGGTAAATTAGTTTAGGTTTTTAATTTATTCGACGCGCACCACCCGCACGGTATAAAATTGTATCGTATACAATTGCTTTTATGGATGTCTCTTTAAAGTTTAATAAAGAAACGCGACCAAACGACCAGAATCGATGAACAATTGTAAATGTGCTCGGTATCGTCTGTATATAATTGGTGTGAGTTGTAATCTAAATATTCGAGAGAAACGAAAATAAACGAATGCCTTCAATTCTGTGCATAACGATAGATCATTTAGTCCTCGTTTTTATTAGATTTCATTATAAAATACATAGAAAAAATACATAGAAATACAATAACAAATAATCGTCATTTGTACCATATAAAATATTAACGATTATCAATCTCAGTTACTGGAAGGCAGCTGATTTGTCACACGTTTTAATATTTCAAGTATGGCTTGATTGAGAACATACATACACACGTTCGAAAATTGCATTACGCTGTGATTCCTTACAATGGTGATACGATGCGAGAAAAATTAATTAATTATGAAATAAATACGACTCTGCGGAATATGGGCAGATCTATGAAAAAGATTATACAAACAGAAACATCAGTTATTCATGTTTTTTTTACTAAGGCGACTACAAATTTTTGTTTGAAATGTAAGTATGAAAAGCTGTGAACAATTCGTGTTTCATCTCGTCGATGCAGTCGAATAAGAACGTAATGATTCTAGTCAGAACGTTAAACACTCTGCTACTGTTCGAACAACTCATCGCCCCATACTCCTTTAAATTCGCTTTGCAATAATTCCACGCGAAGAAAACGGCCTCTACTAAAAATTGTCTCGGATCGTCATAGTTCTGGACCACGCAAACAGCGACTTTAAAAATTTTAGTTAGTACGTCGACTGCGTTGTCCATGAATTTGACTTCTTGCAGTATGTTTACAAAGTTCTCCACGTTGGGCAAGTCCACGTGCTCGCCAGAAGAGGATGCGTTTTCGCTGAAGAAATCCCTTATCAGTCTTACCAGTAACACTTTCAACCTGATCATCACGTCGCTTTTTTCCGTCGACGAATTCGGATTTAATTCATCCACTACGACCGTACCTGCCGTTAACAAATGCCCCGTAAAAACCACAGGGTCTATAAATATTCTATTATGTACAACGATATTCCCGTTCGAGTATTTGATGAAAGATTTAGCCCCATGGCCCATTTCGTTCAAAGAGTCCAAGAAATCCTCTTTGTTAACAATGTTCTTAATTTTATATATTATACCCTCGGATGTACTTTCCCCGTCTTGACCTATATGAGGTGCCGTTTTGGCAAACTCTTTCATAAACCGGTTGGAACGTAAACTGTTCTTAAATCTTTCGAATATAGTTCCCTTGGACGTCCCAATCAGCTCGCCAGCCAATTTGGTGCTTATCAAAGTATTACTAAAGAACAGGACGTGAGAAGTGAACATGACTATGTCCAAGAAATCGACTTCTCTCGTAGATTTATATTTGTCGATTAAACAGTAGCCCTGAAACGCTACGCCGAGACCGTTCACTGCCAAATTACTAAATAACATAGAATTGTATGCCACCCTCGCCGCAGATCCAACAGTACTACATTTATTAACGGTGTTAGACAGAAGTGCGGTTCCTCCCGTCGCTCCCATCGACAGAGCCGTGCTGCCTATTCCGAGCCAAGCGGGGAAGGCGTTCCTACTTATGGGACTGATCGACTGCCTGTGTCTAGCGAGGTCCACTAATTTTTGAGAACTTCTGGCGATGATCCACGATCCGCTTACACCGCTGTAAACGAGACCAGCCGTGATCGCGGCCGGTCCGATGGGTGTCACCAGGCTGGCGATGGTTAATCCAAACGTGGTGCAAAGGGAAATCATGTTCGCGCCGACGTCGATAGACTGGAGGATTTTCCCTTTGGTAGAACAAGCGGGTGACTCGAGCACTTCCAGCCATACCGTCGAACAACATTCCGCGACTTTGTATTCCGGGTTCGACTGATATAAACCGCATTTCGGTAGAATCATGGTACATTTAGGTAGCGTATTATTCTTTACGTAGTCGTCCCAGCTTTGGTATACTCTACCATCGTTATCGATGTACCATACACCGATTTCGGATTTTCTTACTTTGATCAGCGGTAGCATGCACAGATCATTTGATTGATCATCAGTTTGTTTACCGGTTTTCTTTGGAATCGTGTGGAGGAATAATACATTATATAAAATTCCAATGTAAATCGACTTGTCCTCACTGTCTCCTCCACATCGTATTATCTGCTTGTATACCGTGTCTATAACTTTACACATCTTCTTATCGTATACTATTCTATTAAATATATTATCGTGTTGGTTATTGCTTGACGTATTTGTGGAACCGATCTCAGTCTCCGTGTCTTTATCAATTTTTGGTGGACCGAAAAGAGCATAGCCAATTTTCTGTTTGATAAGAGTATAATCTTCATGACCATACTCGAACCAGTCAGGAAGCATTTCGTAATAGTATTGTTGATAATTCCCAGCAAGCGCTATTGCTTGCAACTAAAATAATCAACATTCATTATATAATTAACATTTAATTATTAAATTATTAACATTTACAATGTGTATAATAAGTTGAATACGTATTATACACGATATTTCACGAGAAGTGCCGTGTCATGTATTTACCAAACTGTCAAAGTTATCAATGTAATAAAAATACAGAAAAAATTGGAATTCATAGTTTGCCCGATGTAAACCTTGAGATGTTCGAAAGTCACAAGAACGGGGAAGTTTTAAAATAATCGAAAATCTATTTCTTTACGAATAAACATACTTATAATTATAAATGCATATTTGTTTTTTTTACAATTGATGCTTAAATGACCACCTCTAGGTTTTGACCATTCTAAATGTATCGCCGCGGTCGAATCACCGAACGGAAATTGGGAGATACATTCGGGAACATTCATCAAGCATTTGCTTAAGTCGTACACTGTTTATTACAGAAAAAAGGGACATAAAAAAATGCTTAAGGCGATCTTAAAAATAAATAATTACGAATACCGCCCATTGTATCAGGCAATGTAGCCGCGCATTGTTCTTGTCGTATCTCTTACGAATTTCCGTTTGTTTTAAAACGTTGAAACTCCGATACGAAAATCGATTCTTTTCTCGTATCATTACTAATACATAAAAGAATGAAGTTAGTGCGTCCTTACATTATTTTTATTTTTGTATAAGAGAGATAAGGAATAGGAAGCGGGCAGTTAAAAAGGTACGAAAGGATGCCCAGGTCTTCGATACTCAAACGCCTTCGTTTGGGCCCGAGGACGCGATGCATGACTATTTCAAGAAGAAAAACTTCGGACAAGGAAATAGGCAAGGATTAGGTGAACCCAGGACCCAGGTACTTCCGACGGATTAACGTTGTATCCTTATGCGACCTCGCTATCCTCCGAAATACAGATTGTCAATAAACGTAGTTCTGATCAGCATTTGTTTTAATATTTCTTACATTTGTCAGTTACCGTTTAGTAGCTATATTAATAGACACTTCGCGTGAAATACCTTTAATAAACTGTGAATTGTACTTACCTTCCTTTCCTCGAAATCAGACATGTTATTTTTCAAGCAAGGAAATCCTTCCTGGGGTGTTTATTAATATTTTATAATTAGTTTCTTAGAATTATTAACTAACTAATTATATCAAACTACACAGAATAGTTTAAAATATACTGAAAACAAACTGATTGTGAGACGCTACGGTTAACTGTCCCGCGACGACTGACAGGACTGACAGTACGAGATCATGGTATACGTATAATACATATATATATACACGGCGTTCGATAAATCGCTGATGACGCTGCTGTAATACAAAGTTGCTCAGCGTAGGCACTGGCGGGCAAGGGTAGCCTCGGTTTCCCGCGGGCAATCTCGCAGGCATTCAGTAGTAGAGTACGGGCCCTCGTAGTTCAGATAAGGTAAGCCAGACGCTCATGAGGAATTATTATAAAATTTTCATACAAATGGCAAAGAAACTGATTCCTCAATTAGAAGACAATAATTGGCTAAAAGACTTGGCGTTCCTTCCGGGCCTCATTGACCACATTAAATGTCAGGCTACAAGGCAAAAAGAAAACAATAATCTGAAATTTCAATACGAGAAAAATTTGCACAACTTATTAGATTTCTGCAAGGTGTTACCGCGAGATCAATATCCGCAATTACATACAACTTCCGCAAAAATTTCATGTATGCTCGGCTCAACTTATTCGCGTGAACAATTACTTTCTATAATGAAAAAGACGAAATCTGTTATTAGAAATTCATTAAGTCTGTAAAATAGTAGTAATAACAAGTCTGCCGAAGTTTCCGGCGAGGGCATCGATCAGTGCCCGCCGAATTGTTTCTATCCGCGCTAATGAAATGCGCTGCCATATTATTACAGTGTAATAATAGATAGTTACAGTTAAGATAATGTGACCTGAATCAAGTTCCTTTTAAGCGACGCAGCTGAGGTTTCGAATTCGAAACACAATAGTACACTGTGTATATAGAACTTTATTCACGACTTATCTGCATATGTAGCCACTTTATTACTATTGATTCGATCATGAGAAACTTTTATGCTCTGTGCACTTATTGTAAGATATTGCTACGATTGTTAGGTATGACTGATTATTATTCAATTACGACTATACTTTTGCGTATCAGAAAATACATATAGTTGAAGCAGAATAAATTAAATCTTCTACGACATGCCACCTTCGGTACTACCGATGCTACCCATGCTACCGGCTGTAGATTGCAGTTTATCGATAATCCAAGCACCTGCCTAAAGTTCATTCGATGTAGTCGATAGTATGTATCAGAGATTTAGCCGAATAAATGAATCGTTGGCCTCTATCGACTAAATCGATAGTTTTTAGTCGATGGTGCCGTGCCCATCACTATATAATAATTCTGATTAATAAATTAATGAAAACGAAATTCGGCATTTTTATTTCGCTATACTTGACCAAACATGATCTAAAG